CACGTGATACCTACACATTAAGCGTGCTAGTCGATCTTTATCATCATCATCTTCTTGATCGACCCAACAATAAATTTATATACATTTATATATATAAATATATGAGTTCTGCCAAGAATATTCTTTGTTCAGAATTCTTGTTCCAACCAATTCTTTCCTTCAGCTTCTTCCTCCTATTGCTTCAATCAATCAAACAAAATATATCTGCTATCATTAAGATGGGCTCATGACAGAATGAAATACAAAGAGGATGATGATAAACTTGAAGATGATGAGGATGAAGAAGATAAGGTCATAAAATTAAATTACTATCTTGAACACTTTTTCGAGTCATTTTTTTTCTCCTTCTCCTCATCTTTTCTCCTTTTAACCATCTTATATTCACCAAAAATCCATTTGAGTACTTAATTTATTCTCATCACTTTTGATTCTCATCATCTTGATCATCTTCATCATCATTACCGTCAACCGATAATTTGTTAAAATGATTATATAAAGGCAGTTAAACATTCAAATATGATCAGCTGAAAAATAAATGTTGTTCAAGTGTTAAGATAATGAGAAAAGAAGAAGAAGAAATATAAATTTTATTCATTTATTATTGTTTCATAGTTAATGATAGACAATAAATGAAAGGTTCAATATCAAATGTAAAAATCAAATGCTATTACTTATTGCATATCTCGTAGCCACCCAAAGATGATAATGATGATGATAAATGGTAATATTATTGATCGCATTTCAATTTGAAAAATATAACAACATTGACATTAAAAATAATCTTTCATTGTACAAGTTACAACAAAGACAAAATTATGATTTTCCCTTGAAACCAAAAACTTAACCCTTTCACTTTTGTTTACCTTTATTCAGGTGAGATCCCATTGGATTTGACGGTTAAAAAGTCAGACGATGATATTGACCCAATTAAATTAAGTGAACCTCGATCATCATCCATTTCACCCGGGAATTGTTAGTTTATCAATCTTGTTTCGCCCAATCCAAAAGGCAATAAGACGCCAACACAAGCAAATGCACCGACAACAACAACAATATCCCGAGTTTCAGGATCAGTGAATAATTTCAAATCATCTGGGAATAGTAAAAGTACAAGTAAAACCTTGAATAATGTAATTCACTCCTCGTCTTCAGTTAAACACTCAACTAACAATGGAAATGATTCAAGGAGTACAAAAGAGGGAACCCTGAGTGGTCCTGCAAGTGGCAGTGGTGGAGGTGCCAATCGTCAAAATCCATGGCAAACTCAATGGATTAATCGTTCCTCTGAACAAAATCGTGATGTATTCACCTGTGTTTGGTGTAAAGATAGTTTCAGATGTTTAGCTGAAATGACTCAACACATGAAAGCCTCACCTAGATGTGGTATGGCTGGGATGCAACAAGCAACCAACACTGTTGCTCCAGGTTTAACCAGTACAACATCAAACTCATTATTATCTTCATCCTCTTCATCATCATCCTCCTCATCAAACTCACTAACCACCACCACCACAACCACATCAACAACAGGTACATATCCGTTAATAGTGCCATCCATAGCTGGACTAGCAGCTTCATCAACAGCCTCAAGATCAACAACACCAACATCAATAGGAACTGGAACAAGCACCAATAAAGGAAAATCAAATGTCGATTTACGTGAATCTCTGTCAACCCCATCAACTCCCTCATCAATAAAAAGCTCATCTTCCATTTCTCCCTCACTCCATCATCCCAACCAGGTTCATCATCATTCCTCTTCCTCACCCAACCAAGGACCCACTAACAGTAACTCTGATAGTAACAATTCAAACCTGCCAAATCAAAATTCAACCAAAGAACCGATGAGCTCATCTGTTTTAGCCAAAAACAGTGTTAACTTACCAAGGAAACTGGTTCGTGGTCAAGATGTTTGGCTTGGACGAGGAGCTGAACAAACTCGACAAATACTCAAATGTAAGTTGAACCCTTTTCCTTTTTATCAACACTTGTTGACTATCAACAAAAGTCATCTACTTTGCTGTTACCATCACTGCGTGTTGATGGATACCAAAAATCACTATCATTTCCTCTGTTCACCAATGAAAATGCATGATTTTCAGTTGACCATAAAGATGAGTGCTATGATGATGAACAAGGAAAAGCACAAGAAGATGAAGAATGATGAAAAGAAGGGGAAAAAAGCTCAAAGTAGATTCAGATTCTCACTCACTTATAACCACATCAATCAAATGTAATGGTAATAATCAACGTTAATAATAATATTATTACACTCAATTGCGTTTCAATTTTCATCATTTGCACTCATCATTATCATGATGATAACAGTAACCTTAAGTTGTTAACAACCTTTCGCATTTCATTTAGCATTACATTATTGGACAATTTTCATGAAAAACCTTTCTTCGATTCCATAATTGAACAGACAAAAATGAACACAAAAAATGAAATATTCAATTAATCGTACCTTGATTGGTCTAATCAATGGAAAGCAGAAAAGTTAACATTAATTAACCTTAACATTTGAACCTGCAAAACACAATTAAAAGTGAAATGTTGAACGTGATACAATTAAATATTGAACAATTTTATTGATTAGCAAAAATTTTCAACTTTTCACACACAATTTGTTAATATAATAACAATTTGAATAATTATTGCAGGCAACAGCAAAGACTTATTATTATTATCATTTCAATGTAAAGTTATCTTGAAAGGTAGATCCATGTGCATTTGAATGATATTTAAAGGTAAAAGCTGAAAAGGTAATGAAGATAATTAACCTTAAACATGCAAACACAGATTAACAATGAATTGAATTGAAAGTCACCAATTCGTCAATCAATTGTAAATCATTTCTTTCTCTTCCTTAATAACCTGATCATTGAAGAAAGAAGACGAAGACGAAGAAGGATGATGAGGATGAAGAGAAAGCCGAGGAAAAAGCAAATGAATGAAAAGGCTACCAAAAAATCCATCAATCTTCATTCAATTGGCTTCTTCTTCTTCATCTTCTTTGAATACCAAATTGGAATGATTATTTTTTGCTTGATAACTTGACGGGAAAAAGGCAAAACTATTGTAAACTGTTATTTATATTTATCATCATTTTCATCATCACCATCACCATCATCTTCATCATCATTATCAGCATCACCAACAATCACCAGAAAAGGTCAAAGCGTATGTCAAAAGACTAATTTCAGGCTTTTTTTTGTGTGTGTGTTACTTTTTTTGTCATCATCTTCACCATTTTCATGTTTATTTGTTGAACCATTTTTTACCTTTCCATGTTTGATTCAAATGTTAGTCAAGCTTTCACATTGATCTGTACAAATTGTTGATTGTTGATTCAGATTGTTGTGATTATTATTAATGATTTACAATTGAAAAAGTTAAATTGAAACTTTGCCTTCTTTACTCCCGATCAATTTGTTATTACATTTGATCAATGGTTTTGCATAAATACATTAAACTGTCTCAGCATTTTTGGCCTTTTCCAGTCTCTCTTTGTGCAAAGGTAAAGATTTGAATGCGTTTCTTGCTTTGTGTCTGTCTCTCACTATTATGTATTATTTGATACGGTTATCTGCTTCATCGAAGTTCAGATGACTATTGCTTCGCTTTGGTGAATTTAACTAATCGTCCCTTTGAATCAACAATTAATCATTTTGCCCACCATTTTGTTAACCATCACCATCATCATTATCATCATCATTATTTAGCTTCATTTTGTCCTTTTTTGGCTTTCGTTTTTTAATACACTTTGTATATACGCTTTTTCATATGCATATTATCTGTTAATTTATGATCATGAAAGTGATATTAATACTTTACAGAATAACTTACTATTATTATTATTATCATTAATGCAATTCCCAGCAATCCAGCAATGAATTAATATCATTTTGCCTTTTGTACTTTTTATGTCACTCAAAAATAACGTTGAAACTATTAAAGATGATCAATTGTTGTAAGGTTTTTTAAGTAAAACAAGTAAAATGATCAACAATTTTTCCTATCATTTTCAAGGTAAATAGCAATGTTCAACCATTTAGCAGAAGATAATCTTACGATTAAGTTAATCATTATCTTATTAACTCGCATTAAGAGTAAGATTGATGTAATATTTGACTTAATTTCATTGGAATATCAATTTGAACAGACAAAAAAAGGTAAAATAATTAACATCATTTTAACCTGTTTAACAACCTTACAGTCTTAATCCTTTTCAATCAACCAATCACAACAAGAAAACCTGTCGAAGAAGATGGAAGATAAAAGAGATGAAAAAAAGAGAGTAAAAGGTAAAGAGTAAGTTAACCCCTTAAGGGATGAAGAAAGTAAAGGTGAAAAGAAGATGAAGAGAGAAGACATTTTGCTTTTTTCATGTTTACTCTTCTTTGCGCTCATTTGTGTCAGCTTTGAGCTGAAATTTGAATATGTATTGGTCAGTTTTGTTAACTTAAAGGTGATTGGGTAAGAAAAGAAAGAAAAGTCATCCTGATCATCATTATCATCTTTGTGTATTGAAAGGGTTTCGTTAAAATAGGAAGCAAAGTCATCATTCAACTTATTGTAGTTGTTCATGTTTTAAAAACCATTAAAATCAGTTTTTCTTTTAACCTTTTTTTTCTCTCTCTCTCTTCAGTTCTTGTGTTAGTTTTGAAGATGAGAATGATGATGATGATGATAACGATGCTGTTGTTGCTGATGATGATTATAATAGTAATGAAAATAATGATGAAATGTCTTTCTCCTTCCTTGTCGTTCAAACCCAAAGGAATGATCGATTTTACTCAAATTTCTGTCACATTTTAAGCTAACCTTTTTTTCAATCTTTTGTTAGTTTACCTTTATGTGTATCTCTCTCTGTGTTGTGTGTCTTTCAGTGTTATATATCTACAGGTAAGCCAATTGTCATTCTTGTTCATCTTGTTCATCCAATAGGCCATGATTTATATTCCTTTGAAGTCCCAACCCATGAAGCAAAGGAGGCGAAAAGGCGATGAAGATGAGGATGAAAAAAAGTGTAACAAACATTATAACACAAAAAGTTATCCAAGAAAAAAAAGAGAGCAAAAAATGCTTCTTTTCTTCCTCTGCTTTTTTTCCCTCCTTTATTTGTGTTCCAATATTTTCACTGATAACTTGTTGTAAATGAAGGAAAAAAAAGGTCGAAAAAAGATTTTTTGACAAATCATAAATAACTGGACTTAGCAGTTGTTATTATTGTTGTCCAACATAACCCAACAATTTGATTTTGGTCAGTTGATCATCAACATGATCAGTTAAACTTAAATTGATGATGTTCACATTTGATCAATGATCATTTCAATTTTAATGGTTTATCAAAATCACAAAATTTCCTCCTTTTCTCCAACATTCAACTAATTTTAAATCATGCAAATAGTTCAGAATGTTCAGAGTGAGAAAAGGCAAAGAATACAGAATGAATATCATTTTGTTAACCAAATTGAAATTGTTTAAAACATGATAATAATGGCGATATGATTAAGTAGCAGCTACTTTAAAGGGTAAAATATGCTTCCGTGAGCGTATAATGTTAACAATCAATTGATGAACAATCACGAAACTGATAATCGCAAGTCAATTTTGCGGCTCAATTTTTTGTTCTCTCGCCATAATATTAATATCTTTGTTTTGAGACAAACAAGTTTGGTAGTAAATTCAGTGAACTCAATTGTTTCGTTAATTTAATTAATAAATTATCTTGATGGTCTTAGCAGCAGAAATTTGATTAGCAAATTGTTTAATGTTGAAGAAAAGGAAAATGTTGAAATTGAAAAGATTTAATGTTGATAATGATTTACGCTTAAAGCGTCAATTTTTTGTTATTGACGATCATGAAACTAACGAGCGAAAGCAAAGCTGACAGAAGATAGAATGATTTATCTTTTTTTTTCTTCTTCTCTTCTCTTTCTTTTCCTGAAAACAAGAGAAGAAAAAGAAAGAAGAAGATAGATTCTATCTTGCTCTTTCTTCCCTTTTACCTGTCAGTCTGTCTAATTATTTGTCTTTCAATCTATTTACCTTTAAGATGATAATAAATGATGATAATAATAACGTTGCAAGAACGTTTCTGTTGTCTTAAAACAGTATTAGTCTTTTAACCATCTTGCAGTATCAAACACCAGGCCAAGTTAACCTGGTCATTACATTTTTGTTCAACAATCAAATTAACATAATTATTACATATTATCTATTTAATCTAATATCGATAATAGTGGGTATCGGCCTAATTTGTTGTTACATTAAAAGGTATGAAAATGCATGTCGATCTGGTAAAGGTAAGCTTAGTTGACCTGTTTTGTTTTTTACCTTTTTTTACGCTCATTATAATTGATTTTCAATTTGAAAAATATTTTTTTTCTTCTTCTTCTGTTCATTTCAAATTTATTATTACAACTTGATGAATGACTTGATCTTTAACATGATCAAGATGATGATTATGATGATGGTTTGCAATGATGATCAGGATTGAATAGCCGTGAGAAAGTAAAATATCATTGGAATCCTCTTTTTCCCTTTGAGTTGGTTAATCAAGATTCACTTTTGAAATGTTGAACATTCGGTGTTTAATTAATTTAGTTTCAGCTATATCATTTAATCACGAGGTTTCAAAGATATATTTCTTTTGCTGTAGCTATGATTATCATAAAACGGAAAA